CCGGGGGGGTCCTTAGTGCTGCCGAGGAAGGCGGGAGAGGCTCCTGCCACCACTGCTGTGCTCACCAGCAGTGAGCCCAGCTTCTGGCTGGCTTCTGGCTGAGCGGCACTCCCCCTTTGGGAGCACACTGACCACCAGGGGGCAGCTCCTGCGTTGATGGTCAGTGCGTGTCATAGCACCCAGTTGTTCCACCGTTTGGTTGATTTGCATATTAGGGTTTTATTATATAGGATATAAATATATATATATATACTAGAGGCCTAATGCATGAACATTTGTGCAAGAGTAGGCCTTCCTTCCCCCGGCTGCCGGCACCAGCTTCCCTCCAGCACCTGGGACCCAGGCTTCCTTCTCCAGCTGCCCGCAGGCACCCGGGACCTGGGCTGGCTTCCCTCTGGCCCGACTTCATCAGGAAGGACATCGGAATGAAGTCCAGAAGACATCCGGTCTAAATAGCATATTACCCTTTTATTATTATAGATATTAAAGCTAATTCCTGGCTCAAAGTCTTCTCAAAAAGGTGGTGGTAGTGGGCGGTAGGGGACAGGACGAAGAAGTGGTTAAGATGAACCACTTTTTACAATGTATCTCCAGTACTCACGACATTGCAAACATCATATAAAGAAACTCGTTTGTTAACTAACTGAGAGAAAGAAAAGTCTATATTTAGGACTTGTGAGCAGGTTGCCACTAAGGAAAAATAAAGAAAGCTCAAGTCTAAAATGTGAGATTGGACTAGCTTAATTAACAACCCAGTAAGACCAAACTGGTGACATGATCACCTCCCTGCTTAGGAAAATAACTGAGCACATGTGGATTTGGGGTGACCACCAAGTTCGCACAGATGACTTCCTTTATAAAGGTAACATCAGACTGAGAACTACCTTCGGGACTCAGGCAACGATCAAGTTCAGGCCCGCCATTTATGTTGGAAGAAGATCTGCCATGTGCAGAAATCTGCTGAGAGAGGAGAGTGACCATTATTTATCAGGAAAACTTGACACATCTTCAGCTCGCTCATCCTTAGATAACAGAAAATGCTTATAGAATGTAAAATGCAGGCAGAGAAACAGAGGAGGTAAGGCCTTTCTTTCCTCGCACCTCTCTCCCTATACACATCAAGCCCGCTTTGCGCGCGCACCTCCGCACCTGAGTTTTTTCCACACTGCGCCTCCTCTGAGCCTCGGTGTGCTGTTATTTTTCCTTCTAGTTGAAGAGTCTCTCCTCAGCCAGCCTTCCTGTGGTTCTGGGTGATGTCCGTTCCGTCTTTTAGTTGTATTTTTGAAGTGGTTGTTTGCGGCAGCAGTCTGCGGTGTTTACCTATGCCGCCATCTTGGTCTCTCCCCGTATGCTCTATCTGAATACATGTTTTTTCCCTGAAACGCTGCTTGTGGGCATGCAAAACAGCTGGGGCCAAAGTTAGGCTCTTTCATAAAATCTTGTGTTCACTCCGGTTAAGAATAAACTCGGAGAAATGTTGGATTTGGGGTGACCACCAAGTTCGCACAGATGACTTCCTTTATAAACGTAACATCAGATTGAGAACTACCTTCGGGACTCAGGCAACGATCAAGTTCAGGCCCGCCATTTATGTTGGAAGAAGATCTGCCATGTGCAGAAATCTGCTGAGAGAGGAGAGTGACCATTATTTATCAGGAAAACTTGACACATCTTCAGCTCGCTCATCCTTAGATAACAGAAAATGCTTATAGAATGTAAAATGCAGGCAGAGAAACAGAGGAGGTAAGGCCTTTCTTTCCTCGCACCTCTCTCCCTATACACATCACATTAATGCATTTTATCCTTAGAGACAATATTTTTTATTAGGATTAGACATCAGGAAAATTGACAGCGTGTTACTCTTTGATATTGTGTTACATTTGACAATGCAATAAAATAAAGATTTCTATGGCATCGAAGCTCTATGGGGTACTTACGAGTGGCAAAGGCAGGCTTCGAACTACAGATTATTCCAAGTCAGCAATGAATCCCCAGATCTCACAGCCGCCCCTGAGGCTGACCTCAGGGCGTCCCTGCCAAGGGCAAGCCCTTCTGAGAACCCAGCCCCATGCTCCTGACTGCACCACCTCAGGACCCAGTGTGCAGCCCTGGCTCAACCCTCGTCTTTACCGACCCTGAAGCAGCAGGAATCCCTCCTGAGCACCGTGAGGATTTTCATTACTAGGATCCAGAGGGAAATAAAACATAAAACTAACAAAAAACTGAAGCTCCCATTCTAACACATAAATATCTCTAGTTCTTAGTTAAATTGAAAATCTCACATTGTGAATATTATTCATATTAAGTTTATTATTCTGTAGGCTTATGGAATTTTTTCTTAATCCCCAAGGGCTCTTATGCTTTTGAACTAAAACTTTTCCGCTGCTTGTGGGCATGCAAAACAGCTGGGGCCAAAGTTAGGCTCTTTCATAAAATCTTGTGTTCACTCCGGTTAAGAATAAACTCCAAGGAGAAATGTATGGGTAGGTGGAAAAATGATTATCCTCACCATCCACTCACCTGTCCATGCACTCTTTGACTACTGCAAAATTGCCATCACCAATAACCTTTCCAATTCTGTACTTCTCAAGAAGAGTTGAAGATTCAATGCACCTGTTTCCATTTATGCCTACGAAAGAGGATAAATGCAAAGTTGAAAGAACACACCAACATTTCATCTTGATTCCTATATACTTGTCTAACAATCAATTGCAATGCATTTATTTCTAAATCTATGGTAAAACTATAAGGAAAGTCTCTGAGCATATTGTCTGAATAGAATACCTGAATCACCGATTTTCTTTCGACTTGACTGGTTGGCATCAGAAACCAATATAATCAATAAAGATAACAAATATCTGAAATACCAGCTAAAATAAGCGATTCTTTGTGAAACAAAGAAGTCTAACTAAAACTTCAAACTTTTTTGCCAAATTTGAGAAAGAAGAAGGGGATGATGTTTCTCTTCTCTTCTCTTCTCTTTTCCTTCCCTCCCTCCCTCCCTCCCTCCCTCCCTCAATTATGCCTTTCAGGAGCTTACAGGGTCAAAGGACCTACGAGATCTTGAGAAAGCATCTTCGACATTTTTTGTCTTGGTATGTTTCCACACTTGCATCTGTGCCCACACAATCCAACTATCCTGGTAGCTTCTATGGATACATGGAACAGACTGACAGCTGACAGAGGGGAGGGGCTAGGGGAGACTAGGTGAAAGAAGGTGAAGGGACTAGCAAAAAAAATAAAAATAAATCAAACAACCATATATAAATAACACACAGACACAGTCAACAGTGTGGAGATGGCCAGAGGGAAAGGGGGTGGAGGGTAGGTGGAGGTGGGCAAAGGGGCAGAGAATGGGGACAGAAAGAGACTTTGCTTGAGAAGATGGGTGCATGATGCAGTACACAGATGATGTTTTATTGAGTTGTACACTTGAAACCTGTATGGCTTTTCGAACCAACGTCCCC